GAACGGACGGACGGACGGGCGGACGAACGAACGAACGAACGACGGGCGGACGGACGGACGAACGAATGAACGAATGAATGAATTCTATTTCTTCGAGATATTGTATGTTTTAATAGCAGGCTTATGATTGTGATATTTTATTTTCCACATTTAACAACCGTTCCGAAAAGAAACCAGAATAAAAAAAAAGGTCTATATTTCACATAAAATGGTAGTGGGGTTGGTAAAGGCATTTTAATTTTTTTCTGGAAATTCCAGTGAAATGAATGTCAGTGCCCATTATCTCAAATGAAGCTTGTTAAAATTGCCAATATAAGAGGACACATTTTTATATGCTATCAGAAGCACATGATTCAAATTGTATTGGTAGTTGTTTCAAACTGCGTATTTAGCTTTATTTTGTCGTTTTGTTGACGCTTCCATATAAACAATGTATCAATTTCTGTTGTTTGTTGTTGATGTCATTCCAAGGCAAGAAATCTGCTTACCTTCTGTCTCAATTAATTTGAGTTGTGTTGGTTTATGACTATGATATAAAAGATTTACGTACGTTCAGTATAACTGCTACTTTAACTGGAAGGCCATGTGTTTTCTTGAAGGTCACGTATTTTCATTGGGAGTGGAGATGGGCATCTGTTAGATTTAGTGGCCTACAACCAGAGATTAACTTCCTTTTAACATAGGGTAATTGTTCTGACGGACAATGGTTTGTAAATACCGTTAGTGTCGTTTTACACAAGAGTGATATACTGACCTGTTTGATTGATAAGATTGTTTACAGTAGTGAGAATATGTTCTGGTGAAAGCTTTACTTGTTCTAACATGACTTTCTCGGTCATAAATGGCAGACTACCGATTAACGATAAACACCGAGAAAATAAATCAAGCCTGGTCATTTTTAAAGCAGCTCCACTGAGGTCAAAAGCCCTAAAAACAGAAAATTTGAAATTCGTACATAAATCAATGAAGCACTTAAAATAGAAAAATCTGCAAAGGATAATAAAGAAATATGCTCAAAATTAAATTGAAAATCGAATTTTTCCTAATTTCAGTATAAGCGTTGCAATGTTCACTAGAACACCCAAAATAGTAGTAATGATTATCTCACATGCGAAATAACACCATTTAATCAATCTATTCATTTAATTAACCAGACAAAAATCACCAAATTATTTGAAAAATGAGCCAAGAGGCAGCCTCACCATGTCTGAACATAATATTATACATACACCGGTTAACCATCGTCGGATATCCACGGGCGAACCATTAACAATTATTGATTACATGTTATGTTGCATGTATTAAATATGGGTATCCGACGATGCGGTAAACAAATGATCACTGGTCGGAAAAGGACACGAACACAAAACAACAACATCAACAACAATAGCAACAAGATATCAGTGTCTTGAAACCATGACACAATCGCCGACAAATCAAATTACGTAACATATGGTATTTGTCGGCAAGCTACATAGCGTTAATTTTAGACTCGATGTATTGTTGGCAGGCGTTTCATCGAGATAGGCTGAATGTGATTTTATCCTATGATAGCAGATATACAAGATTTGTATGACTGCCTGATTGTATACATTGTTCACACGAGGTTGTATGGCTGCCTGAGAGGTGTCTTTATTGTATACATTGATCAGAAATATGGTTTCTGTATTAGATTGTGCTCTATAAAAATCTTCAGCGTGTGTAATTGATAATCAATCATATAAAATCATATAAAAATTAATTTATGATGTGGTGATGTACAACTATATCATTTCACGTGACATTATTTTAATATAAATCAGTTACAGTTTTGCTGGAATCATGCGCGCACTTTTTTCTGTGTTTATAGTAGTATAAAAATAATCGTGTTTAAGTGGATTGGTCTGCAATGAGCACATTTTTTCCACCATCCATAATTATTTCAAAAATTGATTAAAACAATAGAAATGCATCATTTGAAAGTTCTCATGAAATATTTATGGGAAAACAAATTGTTGATAAAGTTCTTAAGTGACTTAGTATGACTTGTATATTTATCATTTATATGACAGATACTAATATTTTGTTCTAGAACTATTCAAAATTTGCTATACTAGTATATTGATATGTCATATCAGAACATGTATCTATCGCTTACCAACAACAGCCATATATAAATCTTTCTTGGTTTGTTATAACGTATGATACTTAATATTATCATAATTATTTATAGTATTAAAGATCTTACAATATGGACCAATTCCCTTTAACCATATATATGAATATCGACCTTAAAGACACATTGAACATTAAAAAAAATTGGCTTATACTGTTCTTTCTCAAAAGCTACAATTTCCAAATCGGTACTCATTGGTCATTTAACGGAGGGAGTTCCATATTTTGCTTTTTTACCATTAGCATAGGTAACAGTGATTTTGTATTTAATATGGAAGACAAACTATCACTTTGTTTACGTTTAAAGATAAGCTATGCTCAAATTTGATATCAGAAAATATTGATAATTGCTACACAGTCTCTTTGTAAATATGAAATAAATATGTTTTGACTTCACACAAAGTTAATATGTCATGTTTAAAATTCAACACACATAGGTCGTCACAATATGTATATATGGTGTCGTTAAAAACTGGCAGTTTTTTTTAAAGAAAATACCAACTTAACTTGTCCTGTAATAGAGAACGTGACTTCCAATATAGATTATTATTTATTTTTATTTGAATTAGACATATTCAGTTAGAATTTCATAGGTTTTGATAAATTTCTTCGATTTAAATATTTTACTCAAAGATGAGCATAGTATATCTTTAACTACTTTTATGACAAATTATTGCTTCTAACATGTCCTAAATCCATTATAAATGCATTAAAGAACACAGATTTTCCTTTACTTTAGATAAAACATCGTAATCATCTCTGAGATTTAACGTGCCTTTAAATGAAAAGTCTGCATTCTTTGATAAAAAAAAGATCTTCATTTGTTTCCAAGACATTCCTTCGAGGATAATTTGGACTGTTATCTATTGTTCCATCAGCTCGACAGCTGAAATATTACTAGAGCCGTTACAAACAGAGGGGTGCATTGTTACGACATAACAGTGCATGTTTAATTGTATGAGTTTTTGCACAAAAAGAAGGCCGTTTTAGCCAAAAGATAGAGGTTATCAGAGTACAAAGTTCAAGTGATCTCACACAAAGTCATGGGGGAAAAACCAGTTATTTTCGCTTTAGATGTGTTATTTTCTAAAATGAATCTCCTTGTTTCTAAACTAAGTACGGACGAATTGAATTTTCTTTCCTTTAAACAAAGAACCGTTTTCTAACACGTCTATAGGGTGCATGATATTTTTAGCGTCGATCGTATCTTAGGTTGTTCCAAAAGAATGCGATGTTTTGCAATCTTTGAAAAAAAATCTAACCGTTTTAAGCTTGAAGAAAGAAAAAAATAGACGAACAGATAAGATTAAATTTTTCATTCAAATTAATGGATACATTTTTACTTTAGAGGACTAATCCAGCTGTGTTTATCACGATTTAGATTAAATCAATAGCTTTTTTTCCAGATACCCCATTTTTCTGTTCATGTAAAATTCGAATCTAGCTTTTCTGTAAATCTTGTTAATATTATGGCAGCGAAGATGAATTTCATTTTTTTTTTTATCAAATTCTGACTTTTTCACAGGGGCACTTTTATCACATCGTGTATTGTACAATTGTATAATTATTTAATGTGAAATCACTGTTATTTGGTAAGCGGACATGCATGAATGAATTGCTGATTTTTCTTTCGTTAATATTATTATCTTATTATCGATCTATATTTTTTATTGAATGTTTAGCTACATGTTCATTAAAGTATTCTTGATAAATATAATACTTATTTAGATTTACAAATATGTAGAAATGTCAATGTGTTTATGGCATTCAAATGCATATAAATATATAACAGAAATGTGTTACCGATACTGGAAAAAGAATGAAGGCTAACATGACTTCTTTTAACATTTTACCTTGATATGTATATGTAGTGGCTTGTTACATAGGCTTCATTTCATTTATATCTAAAAACCAAGTACGAGATCTTGAATAGACATAATTTTGACAGAATAATGAGTTAACCACTTGTTGTACATTCTGCAAGGTTTCTGGATTTCATTGGCAATGATGTTTTTGGTGTTGCTAGGAAACAACACATTAAACACCACTTTACTTATGCTATAAATTAACCTCCTACGTCAAAACAGTTTATTATCCAGCTTTTCAATAGAACGAAAAAAGTACATTCTCTGAAATAAGACGTTTTTGAGTCAAATTGATATTGACTTTTAAGTTATGAATTGATGTTGTTTCGTCCCATGCGTTGTCTTATTATCAATTTTGGTTTGTCAAAAATAATATTTCTGAAAGTTAAATGACGCCTTCACTAAAATAGAACTGTATCACAGTTAAGTGACTAATTACACGTAATGCTTAAATTAATAGAAAATGGGTTATCGTTTCTAAAGTGCCAAAACACTTTTAGCTAAGTGATATCTTTTGATATATTTTTGCGTTATCGAAAATAATAGTGATAATATTATAAGGCCAAGTACTTATGCTAAGTAATTACATTAACTTTAAGGCAGTACTATCAAATACAAGGTATAATAACTCTTGTCACTTTCAGCCACTATCAAAGAAAATAATTTGTATTTTATTTTGTTTCAATTGAATAAAGCGGTCAGTTGCTAAACATGCATAATAATTTAGATATACAATGAATATAAATTTTGATATTATAATAAAACTTTTCAATCGATACATAACACATCATTTAGGAGACATATATTTGCCGTTTGCTGAGAGGGTATTGCTATAGATAGTCTAAATTTTTTGTAAAATCTTATTTTTGGAGAATCAGAATTGTTATTGTCAAGAGGCTATGGCTCTACAGAGGGTCACTCTGCACAGGTTACACTGTACGCTTACAAATATATTACAATATGACACTTTTATATTTTCAGAGCTCTGGCAATTATCGGAGGTGTGTTGCTTGCAGTAGGCATCGTCCTTCTACTTGTTTGCATAATTCTATGCGCGCATGCGTGGTGCATTTGGCATGTGAGAGACGTAGAAACACAGACAATTGAAACGGTAGCAATTCTTCTTACACTATTTTTTTGCTATTTGGCTATTTAACATCTTTTAAATTATTTTTTAGAAATATTTGGCTATTTAACATCTTTTAAATTATTTTTTAGAAATAACAGAAATAACTATTTTAAGTTTTATCGGATTAATATAACGACTAAATTTTAAAAAAAAAACATATCAATGTTAGTATTTGTGAAAATGGAATCGAAAATATATTGCTTCATTTTCAATCATGTATGTTTTCTTAAAGGACGAATAACAACATTCGTTACTATCACTTAACTATTTCAACATTTCAACAGAGTATTTAATTGTTCTTTATTTCAATGCTAGATTATACTCGTATACCATTTAAAGGACTATTCTTCGAGATAATTGGTACTTATAGTGCTAGCCGGTGTTAGGGAGCGTGGGAGATATTGCACTTTTCATCATTTTCCTTAAACAGTCTCAATTAAACCAACCCTACTGCTATAATTATTTGCCTTTCGAAAATCTGCCTTTCCAGATTGTTTTTTTACAGAGCAGATTATCATGATTTTGAAACTAAAAGCAGCAAATCATAGAGTTTTACCACAATTTTCACAATATAAGCACACGATTCGCTTCAACAAGATCACTACTTAAAGGCATAATAACCTAATTAACTTACAACTATTGTATTTTTAGACTATTCTAAGGATTGTTATTTATGACAATATCATACTATTGCTTATTTCAGACGGTTATGACAGGAGATCAGGTAGACGGAGACTGGTTTTCTTCTTATGGTACATCAGATAAGAGAGTACCGAATGGCGTTCTTAGAGACGGTAGACAGTCTAGCACCCTTAACAAGAAACACGTGACAATATCTCCAACTTCAAATGAAAGTTTTACCAGCGGTTATATGTCTGGTAGACAAGGAGATTCTTTAAGATCTAATGAATATTCAAGTTCTAAAGGAGGCATGACTCCTGCGTCAGTAAAATCCGGTCCCAGTTCAGTGTCGTCTGACATGTCAACATTAGCGTCATTTGCATATTTAAGTGACCCCTCCGTGGCCACGCCTTATAGCTCATTAAATCAAAGACGTCAAGTGCAAGGTGGGGGCAACGTAGTTCAAGTGCCAATTCATGTTCAAAGTGGATACGGGTCAGTCCAAAGGGGTTCTGAAGGAGGGAGAATGGCTCAAGTTCGCCCATACCAGTCAGAACAAGGGCATAGTCTTAGATCAAATGTCTTGCCCGCGAGGCGGCACTCAGACGATGATTATGATAATACTGGTGAGATGGTTTCAATGTTGCCACAACAGACATATCAGCCAAACACGCAACAGCAGTGGCAGCAGTCATGGCAACAGCAGCAGCCACAACAACAGCAACAACAAAATTTATACAACCAGCAATGGCAACATACGCAACCTCCGCCCCAACAAACAGTGTGGCAATACAAAAATACTGGCAATCAATCAAATTGGCGCCAGACTAACCCCGCCTTTGATGACCTTCCTCCCCCACAGCCATTGACCCAGCCTTCACAAAGGCGGCCAATGACATTTGAGCAAATCTCATCATCGAAAGTGAGTTTATATGACAATATGCAAATGGCCAGACGGGACGATGAGGAATAGATTTGATACTAAATTTTAATAGAATTTATGCAAAGTTGGCTCGTTGCTTGACAACCCTTAAAGTGTGTTTGCGATTGTAAAATGTTAGTTGAACCGTTGTAGAATATGTAACACTATTAAGTGATATCAAACGAAGAAAGTTAACTATTTATTTAGTCTTACACAAAGGATCATTTGTGAATTATTCAAAAAGTTCATTGACATCTTCTGAAAAGGGGACAGATAAAGTTGCGATGATTTGTTGAATAGTGTATAAGTCTTAAAAGAGGCTGAAAGTTTATGCAACAGAAGTCGTATATTATTTGTATTAACCGATGCTGATATTTATGAATGGTGCTATAATTCCTGTATTGTATTGTGTTCAGTCAACTTAAAATCTTTGTGTGTGTTTTTGTCAGTGGTTTGGCCTCGCAAAGGTCAATGGCTTTGAACACGTGGAAGCAGCTATTGATCTTTGTAAGATTTGCTGAAAGCTCACCAATGTATAATACTATAAGCGACACCCTAGTGGAAAAAACGAGATATTCTGATATTTTTTTTTCATGGATTAAATTTTATCAATGTATAATTGAAACTCAAGGCAAAAATAAAATTAAATCCAAAATTTTAGTCTTCAAAAAACTTGATGGCTTATAGTTAAACAATGAGTCAAATCAGTATGTTTGTTTGTTCTGATACTAGTAACACAATTATCAATATATTTTATATTGTCTAAGATTATATTCGCTGTTTTAATCAGTTTATCAAACATATTTCTCAGAGGACTCATAAAATGCTATGTTCTTTTGTGAATGACCTTAAGACGGTCAATTAGAAATAGCATCAGAAAATGTTCTTTGAAAGTTTTGAACAGAAAAGGAGAAACTAATGTTTTCTTGACATTCTTTTTGGGATGTAAAAAAATGTAATCTGAAAATTGAAAGTCAAAGCTTAAGTTATTCGGTTTGTGGAATTCCAAACTTCCTTATCAAATCAATTTGTATCCTACAGTGTGTTTCACTTTTAAACAATTTAAACATGTTTCTGATAAATCTGTGCTTCGTTCATTACTGGGGTACTAAAATGAATCTAAAGCTTAGGCATTTTAAAGGAAAACAAATTTGAATATATTTGTTCTTGTTAGAAATATAATTTGTGTATCTTTTTTTTAATTTTTGCCTCGTAGAAAGATATTTTTAAATCAAATTCTCTAAAATGAAAAAGACCTATATTTCAAAAGCACAATGTTTTGATTTTAACTCGATTTTAGAATTGATTTGCCGTTTCAGTCTGATTTAAAAACAAAATTTCATTTCATTTCCCCTCCAGCGTTACATGCCATTTCAACTAGATAGTAATGATTGGTAAATTAAAATTCTCCAAGCAGCAATAGAGTTGTATAATATATGCCCAATATCTTTGAAACATTCTGAATATTTATCACATCAGTCATTGATCAGAATTTTGGAATGAGTCAAAGGGACTTTTGAACTAAAGCTTTTATGATTACATAGACGAAAGACTTAGATAAGTCATTCTTTAAATTGTAAACCCGGATTGAAACAAGGTGAAAATCTATCTGTATGTTTTACTGAATTTTGATTTTATGGATCTGTTTATTGATATTGATCTGATGTCATTATATAGCTACGAAATATTAGAGAAAAATGACTGGAGCATGTTTTATGATATTATATTAAATGTTATGTTGTTTGTGAAATGTTTGTTTTTATTACCAGCATAAAATACCCACCGTATTTCACTCACAATTTACATTACATTTAACATGTTTATTTTCGTCTCATGAAGGCCACCAACTTTGAAATAAGAAGCGCACCACCAATAAACAAGAACTGAAGAGATATAGCAACTGATAAGCCCTATCGGATTGTGTATACATGCATGTACCTGTCAATGATAATATTGTCTAACAGTTCCAAGCACGAAGGTACCTTTGCAAATTGTCTGTGAAATAGCGATGAAGGTGAAACTGCACTCTCTTTCAAGCACAAAATACGGATATGTCTGTTCTCGCCCACCAGAAGTGATATCTTTGTTAAAAATCCAGTGGAACATTGTAGAGTAGAAATTTCATAACATATATTCGAATCTGACTCTTTTTACTGTTATACAAACACCATCATAGTTTTTGTTTCATTAAAAATGAGCGACATTATTCTTGCACAGACTTTTATAGTTCGCCATGGGGATTCATAACGGCGATTCCTACAAACAGAATTTTATGACAAATAAAGTTGGTCTTTGGAAAGTTAAAAAAACGCGCTGATAAACGACAACCATGTTATATATATTAAACAATGCTCAGATATTTTCATGATAACCCCTATTTTAAGATATTTTCATAACAACCTGTAACAATTATTCCACCTATATTCTCTTTGGTATGAATGCATCTAGTCACACAACTTTCTAAATGCAACCATGCAACCGAACTGATAACAATTATAAATCAGTTGTACAAATATCTGACTAAAAATACATAAAAAATCATGAGGTTCAGGATAGTCAAAAAAGTGAAAAACAGTTGTCCGTCTATTGTTTCCTTGAAAATGTAGCCAGATTTTCCGAATTTATGATCAAAACATGTTTGATATGATATCATATAATGCTATTATTTATGTAAGAAATACTGCAAAAATATGTTCAGGAAACAATTGCCAACAGCGAAAGTAAACACACAAGTTACATTTAAATTTTTTTAACAAATCGAATTCTAACGTAATAACATTTTGTTATTGCTGTAAAATATATAGAGAACATCCACATTTAATTTTGCTGATATGGAAATAATACAATTATAAACTTTTCTATTTGATTTTGAAAGCTTTTGTTGAGAATCATGCAAGTTGATTTGTATAAAGTATTGATTGGAATGTATGCAATTTGTGTTTATCTATAAGCCAGCACTCTTCAAATTAAATCTGCAGAATTGGTGCTTCTCGTACCACTAAATTTGCTTTATACCATTATTCTCTCAGATGAATCAGTAAATAGAAATGTGCGAGATTATTGTTTCAATAAATGAGTCCATCAGGGTATGAAACAATTCACAAAAATGCATGCATGATTCATAGTTTATATTTAAAGATTCAAAGAACTGTATTAAAGCAACATATGATATTCAGTCGATCGGTTTCAACTTGTTTTAATTATGTGACATGACGTTTCTACCATAGGTACATAGAAAATGAAAATGATATTATTACATTAATCAAGGAATTCAACGAGTATTGAACATTAAAAAGAAAAGATGCCTGTGTATTGGCTTTTCAAAAAGATTTTTCATAATTTTAATCGATATCATTTCAATTAATTTAAAAAGGAATGACATCAAAGAAAACACTTTTTCGCTTTTCTTTGTGCAGAAACACGTGTTTTCATAATAATTGTAATCAACAATCGATGAACAGATGGTTTCCTTTTAGCTTTAATTAATTCAATTAAAATATTCGCTCCAATACATTCAAATTCAACTGTAAGCCTGTTACGTTAACGATACGGTACAGGAACAAACAAAAACAACACAAACAGACAGAAGAAAATTATACTTTGACATTAGAGTGGATTAAATTATAAAAGATATTGGCCAACTTCTTGGCTATGTATAGAATGCACTAATCAGTCATAAAGAAGATTCTGAGCAAGTTTTCACGAAAGGCCAGTCACAGACTTTGATTATGCAAAACTGCACGAACTGGCTCAAACTTTGTCTGCAATATATTCACTTCATATGTTGCTGTTATTTCTTAAACTTTGAATGGCAATTTTTCAACAACAAAAAAGCTTGAATTATCTCGTGTAATTTAAAATACAAATTTTAAAAAAATTCTCCTTTTAATTTAAATTTAAAATAGAAAAAATTTTTAAAAATCGTGATCCTATGATGCATTTTCTTTGGGGAGAAATACTTTTTAATACAAAATAATATAAGTCAGTCTTTTTTGAAACAGCTATTCATTGGTGAGTGTTTTCGTACCCCAATCTTTAAAAAAGAAAAATTTCATATTATTAAAACCCTTAAAGGTTTTTAAAATTTGCCTTTCATTTCCCAGGGTTTTTCCCAATTCATATTTCTTCTTTAAAAAATCTCCCCTTTTAAAAAACGATTTAATTTTAAACTGTTTTTTGCGTGCCGAATTTTAAAATTTTGGGGAAAAAGGTAAATCATTAAATTCATTGACGGGATACATGCTACAATTTCGACCTTGTTTCAAAAGTAGAATGTTGAAAACATCATTTTGACAAAGATAGATTTCGTCACTATTGCAAGAGAAAATATATGTTTTATCTTCAATGTATAATTATCTTCAGCTCTACATGCTGTTGAATCTCTTCTACAACTTTTTTTGTCTATTCTGATACATAACTCGTCTATCACGCAACAAATATAATCGCCAAATAATTACCTACATACATGCAGTGGAGACTAACACTGTTTTATGTTATCGCTAACACGAAACCAATATATGTTTGCGCGCCGTAATACCAAAAAAGCCATGTAATATTTCATGCCATTTTTACTTACCTAACAAACAATCATAGACTATATGCATTTCAATGCATATCATGTTATATTTATTATTGTGATATTGCAAGATATTATAATTATCAATTACATAAAATACATGAGCATTCGTTTCCATAAAGAGATTGAATATCCCTTTATCGTTTATTTTGCATTTGTTACTAGCTATTAAAAAGGACCACAACAACATTATCCAATCTGTTATTCAAACATCTGGCAGTAATAACCAATAAAAAATACAACATTTAAGCCTAAACAAAAAATCAGACATATCAAAATAAAAAGAAATTTTTAATTAAGGAACATTCAATGCGACACGTGCAATTGCATGTGTAATTCGTGGTGACAGAACAATACCTCTGTGATTACCAGATGAACGCTATGATATTATTGATTGTAACAAATTAATATCAATGTAAAGAATTGAAACAAACTGTTTGATCCTTTGGGAGAATTGGAGATATTAATCATACATAAATCTTACTATTATGACTCATATGAGTAGAGGAAGATAATCAAACTTAAATTAAATCGTCATTTAAAGCTTTGTTCAACTTCGTTACCATATAGCATTTTACAACACAAATGTCTCGTATCTTATGATAGATATTAGCTGCCAAATATCTTTCAGTGTGATATGGGTGCATCGCAAGAAATGATATTCTGCCAACAGGAAGTTTATATAACTTATATTAATAGTTTGATGGTATCAGCAAAAGCTATAAACTACTTTTTGTTTGCACAGTTTATAAAGCATAGGTAAGCATAATCACAGCCAAAGATAATTGTTATTTAAAGACTTAATATTAGATGGGTCCCCATTTAGGGAAATTTCAGTATACTAAAAAGGCCCTTTAAAAAATTTAAAAAAAATTTTCAGGGGTTTTTAAATTTTTTTCCTTTTTTTAAAGTCCTTTTGTTTGTAAACAGGTTAGTTTTTTATCAATTTTTTAATTAAATAATTTCAGTTACAGGGTGGACCCTTAGTTAGAACCAAACCGGTCAGTTTGATCAAATGGACAAATTTATATTTTCTGACGGGGAAAACAATTCGGGAAATTTGAACTAACAAAATTAGGAAAAAAATTTATTTTTTGATTTAAGTTTGCACAAGACACTTGTTATTGGATGTGATAAATGTTAAAGTCTCTATATGAAAATGTTTGTTATATTTTCATGGGGAATTTATGCCCTGTCTTTTAAAGATATTCTTTTTCATATAATTCGACATTTGCGCATGTAAATTGTGTCTATATTGATCTAAACCTGCGGACGTTTTTAAATTCAAAATTTCATGTTGAATATTGCTTAATGAAAAAAATAAAAAATGTCAAAAAACAACAATTTTTCACCAAATTTCGGTGTAACGGCATGTGTTAACATGGAAAATCTAGTTTTTGTGTAATTCCAAGGTTTTTCATCATTTTTGTTAACCTTTTCCCTTATATAAGCGTGTTTCGACGACTTTTTGCCCCCCCCCCCCTTTTTTTTGAGGCATCAAACAGTGAGAAAATGCCCTATTTAGGCCCCAAACACTGTTTTTTGTTTGAGAAATGTTGTTAAAAAAGTGACCACTTTTTCGGCGCCGTCCCCCAGCCAAATATTACATCAGGGGGTTGCCAGAAGGGGGATGTGCCCCCTTCGGTTTTGGGGGTTTGAGGGGGGGCGGACTCCCTCTCATCTCCAAGAAAATTTTGGACATGTGACATGCTAAAAATGGCCTCAGGTCGATCTTAGGGTAACTAGTAACCGACGCTGAAAAGCCTTTTACTCTATCTAAATTCATTGAGAAGTTGCAGCACTTTGAAATCAGTTTTGATGGAAAAAAACAATGCAAAATAGTGATTTTTGGCAATTTTGAGACGTCCCCCCGTTGCCATGGTAACAGGAAATTTACCATTGAGCATGCTGTTACAGAGGCTATGTTGAAGTCAACATTTGTGCCAAGTTTGTTTCATTAGTATTGAAGCATTTTTCACAGTTTCATAGCAGTTTGAACTTGTTACAGGAGGCTTTTCAATGAAAACGGCCATTTTTCGCAATATGCTCATGGGGTAAAAGGTTAAGCCGGTGCTACGGGGCGAGGACGGTAGGTTGCACTTTCCAGTACTGTCCATAACAGGCTCAATCAAACTGTGTCTACAACATTTTGGACCCTTATTTATCT